CGCCCGGCCTGGCGTCGAACGCAGCGACGCCGGGGCGTCATGGTCGATCGCCGCTGGGAGTGCCTCGTTCGCGAGAGGAACCGGCAGCAGACTCCGCATTCCGCTCGTTCCCTTCGATTGAATTCGCCGTTAGCTTTCGTCGGTTGGGGTTGTCAGGCCTCCCGCCGAGCGGTCCGACGTTTGCGGGGTTCCCCAAGGTTCGCTGGCGCATCTGAAAATTTCGCCGTTGAACGGGTCTCCGTCTCGGGTGTTCTCAGCGGAGAGGTTGTTGGGAACTGAACGAGCTGCGAGAGAGTGGGAGAGTTGCGGTGATATGCGAATCTCGATTTACGACGTGCTGGAGACAGAGAAGCTCGCGGCTATATCGTCGGATTTTATTTACAAAACTGCGTGGGTTCTTGCGGGTGAATCTGTTTTCCAAGGCTCAACGTTCGTTGTGAGTTGACTCACATTCATAGATTTTATTACCACTTTTACGATGTAGAGTAAACATATTTTTTATATATTTCTGCCTGCAAAATATAAAGGTTCTGATATAATATAAGAGAATTATTAGCAAATATCCCTATGTGAAAAAATCGATTTACAACCGCGAGAAACTGGTAAAGATAACACGACCTCGTGTACGTGATTTTAAGGCCTACTGTTTTTAAGACCCAACACTTTGCTATTTGGTGATAAGCCTCTGAACGTCGGTCCTTGCTATTAGCAAGTAACAACATTCAGCCTGTCTAACGCATTTTGGACACTTGCAAATCGAACATTTCCGAAAATTATTTATCCCCAAACTAATAATCTTTTTTCCGTTCTTATTCTCACACTTTCATTGAGTACAATGTTATGTCTTGGAAAAAGGAAAGAAGGAAGCAAGGGGCCATCTCAGCATTTGCTTGAGGATCAAGGAAACTGGACGAAAACCTGATCGAGATGGGGGTCATTGACCCAGAATCTGAAGTACAATACTTGTTATACGTTCTTTACAATTATACAATCCAAATGATGTATAATACATTAAATGTAATTAGTAAAATTAATATTACTTTCCTTTTGGATGCTCGGTATAGTCTCTAATTGTATAGAAACAGTTGTGCAGCAGAAAATATTTTACTTGAGACTTAAACTTTGTATCTAATTTAATCGTTTAATCTCATCTGTCAATGTGTTGTAAAATAATGTACATGTTGTATGTGAATTTTTTGTAGAGAGCTGTTGATACTGTTATCTGATGAATATGATCACTACGCCGAGTGTTATAGTTATAGACAACGGCGTTTGCTGAAAATGTATTCCCGCCCTTAAGTAAGTCATTTTTGTCGAAAACCAGTGATTCATTTATTAAGAGACAAGGTAATGGTAAAATATGTAGATTAATAAAGTGGGGCTTACAAGAATCACATGAGCGGGATTTGCTTATTATTCGTACAATTCGTTTTTGTAATCCAAAATTCTGGGAGCTATAAGATGTATTTCCCCAGAATATTATGCTATATCTCAGGTGTGAATGAACATTCGCAAAATATACACAACAAGCAGTGTGTAGGCTGACTCAATTTGAAAGAATTCTGAAAGCGTAGCATAAAGAACTTAATTTGGTGTTCAAGTCATTTAAATGGAAGTTCCATATAAGGTTTGACTGAATTGAAAGACCTAAAAATTTTGTTACCTTAACATCAGTCAATGACACGCCGTTTATTTTCAGAGGAGTGCGAGCTGTTTATTTGAAATGGAGAACTGGATTGAAACAGTTTTCTTTTAATTTACTATTAACTTGTAATTACGAAACCAATTTGAAATATCTGCTATTGTACTATTTACGGTTTCTTAATTGCAAAGAATATTCGTATCGTCCGCAAAGAGAACTGTTCTTCCGTTTCTAATCGTCGAGGGCATATTGTTTACGTACAGTAGGAAGAGAACAGGGCAATAATGTAAATTAGCTTGATTTACGAGAAAAATGGAATAAATATTTGTTTAACCGAATAGTTTTAAAAATGTATCAGACGTATGCAGTCTTATTTTAGCCATATTGTGCAATAATTATAAATTGAGTGTAAAACAGTAAAAAGTGTTCTGGGCTGAAAAAGTTTAGCGGCTGCATCGTTTCTTCTGCAGCATCTTTAACTGGGTGCTTCCTGGTTCAAGTCCTCTTGGTTCCGACGGGTCATCCATACTACATACTTTGCTAAGTCAAATTCAACCCAGAAAACTCTAGAAACAGGCTGGTTGAACGAAGTAGTTTTTCGTGGTTTCTCTGATTGAGGCCAGGCGAATACGGACCCCCGCGATATTTCCTCCATCTTACAACCTTTCTCTCCTCTTACACACACATTTACCCTTACATGAACACTACATTCCGGAAGACAAATCAGGAGATTAACGTTTAGAGCTGGGTTTGTGCACCTCTGGGTAGAGGGAGGTATTTGGAGGAGAAAAAGTGCAATCCCATGTGTACGTCGGTGCAGATCACGTTCCAACGGGCTAGAAGACTTCCATGTTTCGGTATATAATTTTGCACTACACTCACGGGAATAATGACCTGAGTATTCTACGCGCCCGGAATAAATACTAAATCACCCACGATAGAAAATGTATGTCTCTTAAAACAAATAATGACAACTCTAGTTGGGAGATTCCTAAAAGAGGAACTAGTTCATTTCTTACCATGTGTGTTACGTGTGCATTACTTACCATGTGTGTAGATATGAATGAACCTGTTTTTTAATATAGTAGTTGACACGCTTGGTATCAACTCCCAAATCACCTTCCACGATATTGTGTGCATACGTCATAAAACAAATAATGGTAACCCTAATAAGCAGTATTCCGAACGGAGCATATATGAAGTGCTTTCCATGTGCAGGGGCTTACCTAGACCTGGAAGTACCTCGCTGTTCTGATGCACCTGCCGTCGCGTGCCCTGAAACCAGCCCGCAGGTAGACTCGCAGAACGCATTCGCTGCGCGCAAGTCCGCTCACCTAAGGCTCGCGTTTCCAATGAACACGCTCTGCGGGCAAGGCTGCGCGGCTCGGGCTCCAGACACTCCATTACGACCGCCGCGGAAACACGCTTCCTCGAATTAATCTTCTCGTTGCCGTCTCCCTTGTTTTCATTAAAGCCTGACGGAGGTAAGCAAATTAATGGATTGGGCGATTCCCCACCGTTGAGGAACACGTCACAAGATATGAGAGAAGCCCCCACAGTCCGCGGACTAAACCGCTTTTGTGTTCGTGTTCGCGCTGACTGTAATTTCCTCTTTGTTGGGAACGACGCGTCGGCGAGCTGCTGACGCCGCCGCCACCTTCCTCTTTCTGCGTGGCAAAATGGCGGCCGGCGGAGCTGCGCGCATTAGCCCGGCGTCTGTTTGAAAACCCGCCGGCTTTTGTTTCCGTGCGCGGGAAAAAAAATCGCGAGAGAGAAGTGCTCGTTTATGGGGCGATGGCGGGTTGCTTTGACGCAGGCGTGATGGAGGTAGATGGCGAATTTGGTCTGTTGCGTGTTGTGAGGGTAGAAAATGAGAATGTTTCAAGCAAGTTTTGTTTCAGATAGATGTAGATAATATTTTTCAAGTACTGTATTGTGTGGTCTTCTTTGTAGTGTACACAAAGATTCGAATGTTGAGTTTATTTTGCTTGTACCATAAAACGGAACGCAGTCTCAAGTCTCTTCAATGGCATTTCTGTATTATATATTTCCATTAAAGTGAAGTGAATGTAAAGTAATAGATACAGATATTTTAGGGTGTATTGGTAGACAATAAGGCATGCAAGCGCTTAACTAAAGATAATGAAATAACTTTAAAAATTATCAACCAGAAGGAATAATTTAAAACTACAGTAATTTTTAATGTCGAAATACACGTATTCCATCCAAACAAAGAGCTTATCAGCTCGTACATTCACCAATATAACCTTTAAAAAACAAGTTTGATACGAAATTTTCTCACAGAAACGGATTTTTCAAAAAAAAAATCCGTCGCGAATTGACCTTTTTATAGACAACGCAAACGTGCAGTTACACCCACCAAGGTCCAAGGTCCAACATTAATAGGGGGGATCAGCGTTTTAGCTAAGTCCATTTTTAAGCCCTGGGTTGTTATCGCTGGGGTATGAAAGACGAAATGATGATGATTATGAGGGATGAGAGGAAGACCCCCCCCCAAACTCACATCCACGGACGAGGCAGGACACGAACCCGCGATTTTCTGGTCCCAAAACCCCTGCGGCACTACTGCCTTAACGATCTCGGCCATCTGACCGGTTGTTTATTATTATTATTATTATTATTATTATTATTATTATTATTATTATTATTATTATTATTATTGGCGTATAGGCCATTGCTGACCACGATACACGATTTAACGTGTGTAATTCTTCCAGGATCAGCTTTTCAGCTGGATCCTTAGATTACAACAACGTTGTTACGCCTTGAAGTGTAAATTATGAGATGCAGGTGAATTGGCAATCACAAATACGACCATGTCTACGCAGGACTCGAACCTGCTGCCTCCTCGGCACAGACGACGGCTGTCGCAGCCGTCTGCGCCACGAGGCCGACATATCGTTATTATTATTATTTTAATTTTTTATTTGTTTGCCGAAACATGGCTGGAATGTGCATCCATGTATTTGGGTCTGTGTACATCTCCAGATCCTGGGCGAAGGCAACGTGACGACGTCAACCGTGCGGCTCACACCGTCCGCCGCCGACAACGGGAAGACGCTCACCTGCCGCGCAGAGAACCCGTCGCTGCCCGCGGGCGTCGAGGAGGACACGTGGCGCCTCGACGTGCATTGTGAGTACTACACACTGACGTATTACTTAAACTAGTGGTGCTAAAACAACACGTACTTTCTCGCCAGTACTGTCACGCAGAATTACGCGAAAAGAACTCACAGTTTAGAAAAATTGTGTATCACATTATTTTAGAATCTATTTTTAAGGAACAGATTTCATTAAGGGAAAAATCTCGAACTTCATAATTGTAGTTGTAGGAGGACTCCGAAAAAATTTTGAACTTTTGCAATTGTCGAAAATCAGAGTTTACAACGAAAATGAGACCTGCACCATTCTCTTAAAGGTCCTTCGCACTATCCAACAACAAAATTTAATAAAAAACAATGAAGCCATTTTATGAAGAATTTGAAAAGGTCCTAGGGGCTTCATGTAAAACACTCACAAAAAATTAAGATATCGGTTTCAAATTCAAGAGGCCACCTCATCAGTCAGATCGATTGCAGATTATCGGTTTTGGAGATAATCGGCAGAACGGTTTAGCTGCTAGCGTTTTTCACAAACAGAGGAAGAGACGTTGCACCATCAATCGAATTTTCGGAATGAATGTTTTTACGAAATTATTTCTGCTTGAAAGTTTCGTGTCAAGCTAAAATTAATGGTTAACGAAAACTTTGGGAAGGGGAAATTTCCCTCTTTTCCCTCCCCGTGGAGCCGCGCCTGCATTAGAGGACAAAATACCTCACTGTAGGAAAGGCAGTTTTGTATTGTTGAATTTAATGCATTAGCTTTAAAACAATTAGTGTATAGAATAATATAATATGAAATGATAAAAGATGATACGTTTGTAATTGGCTTTTTATGGATTCAAAAGTGCATATACCTTTCTGCAGAACCATAATCCTTCTATAATCGGAAGGTTTCTCCAAAGCAATAGAGAGAAGCGCAGGAAATTATATTTCTTGTCTTTATAATGGTTTATGAATATTGTTGTAGTTGTAATTTTATAATATTTGTTTGTTTTGTTGATGGAAAGGAAATGGCAATTGTGTCTTGCAGCCGTTGTAAATACAAGTTCTCACATCACTCGCTGTCATTGGTAATGAGTTTTACAACTCATATCTGCGATGTGTTAGTACTCTTACAAACAGAAATTGCAGTATTAGAATTTTACGTAACCGTTACTTATGCGAGAAAGTGCGTGCTGTAGTAGCACCACTAGTTTAAAAGGCTACTCTTTCATTTCGATTGAAAGCCTCTTATTATCCGGCTTACATTTCCTTAAAGAATATTTAATCCGTTGATTTACTTATAAAGGAAAATATTGAAAATTTTATGAAGTTGTTAAGAACAGTTATTGCATTTGATAGTGACTCACGTGTGTTACATTATGACGTGGTGACGATTTCAATTTATTTAATAATACAGGTTTCTAAATGAATTAATATAAAATGTAAATTTGAATTATTGGAACATTAAATTAGAAAATGTTTGAGGAAAAAACAACGAAAACGTTTATCACAAATTCATTCGGATTAGACATTATGAAACTCTTAATTATATTTCATATGAGTAATACATTTTGATTAGACTTCTACAAGTGTCTAACCGAAAGAATTTGTTTATAATGTACCATTAATTCTATTTTTCCATTCATTTCATCTGAACTAAAACAATGAATTCCATGACGAATATTAGAAGTGGAAACAATATATATTGACAAGTTATAATAAAACACGTATTAATACACTATTTTAATCATATTTATTCGTGTTTTCTTTTAGAAAATATAATGATCTACTAAATAACTTGCATACGAAAATGTGTGCTGAGATGTTGCATTAATGTAACCCGAAATGTATTTTAGGCAAAAGATGAATTGCACACTATGAAATATAATTTCTCTTCTATTATTGGATGGCAAACACTTACGACAGTATTAGTAGCGTGACAGGAGTTCTGAGTCTCCATTATCGATTGTTTTACTTTCCACACATTTTCCTCGTTCGTTCAACATTTAAAACATGGCGCCAATGCTTAACTAGAATTGTTGGAATTTTTTAATGCGCCTATGAAATATTAGAACTCGAAGACAAACGTTAGTATTTTCTTTAGGCTTGAATACTAAATGTGAAGGTCAAACGCAGGCCTGCCATGAATGATTTCGTCAGCCATATTGTACACAAACAACCGACGGGAGCACCCAGTCATTTTTGGGATAGCACGTTTCCGCCTAATCTTCCAATTTTAACGTGCGGTCGAGAAGCCGGGGGTTTGTGTTCCAAGTGCGTGTGCTCTGGAAAGGCAGCAGTATGCCCGTCTTGAAGCTCCCGACGCCAACAGGAATATTTTAGCAATCTAAGATCACGTTATCCGATTTTCTTAAGTTGGATAAAATATGAAAATACAATGACAAAACTTTCCCTCGGAAGTCTTGGGATTCAATAACGTAGCTTTCTCTTGGAATAGAAAGGAGCTTCGTAGATGATCTCACGTTACGGTGGTCAAAGTTGGTCAAATTGGAGCTGTCGTGTCCAGGCATTGTCATATGCGTCGTGCCTTGAACATCACTTTAGTGTCGCTCAGATAGGTGACACCTCATATTAGGTGGTGACATGCTATCTTCTACAAAAACTTTAATGATAGTCTGGCGATGTATTGATTTATTATATCGATTAATGGTTTTATCACACAAAATATATCTCTTAAAAAAGGATGGTTAAAGTAAATTATTCAGTAATATTTCGTGGCAATTTTTGAAATATTTTATAGTGCATTTCGAATTTAAACAAACACACAATACTTCCAACAAATGGGTCATTGAATCCAGGAATACGAGTGTTTTCTTGCAAATGTATAAACTCATGAGTTTTTCTAATGAGGGATAAGTAGGATCACTCAACACGAAATTCAAATTCAATAAAGATGAGTACAGATACACCAGAAAATAAAGTATGCTTCGATAGCTTGCTTCGGTGTCGCAAGCCCATGCTTGGATTGATTGATTCGTGTTTCCGGGCGCGACTACTACTAAGGTCATTGGTCTCGTAAGTGTATTGCGTGTTTTTGTTGCGGAGGTGGGAGTGATTGTCTCCCTCTGGATAATAGGATCTGGCGCCGACTAACACGTCGCCTTGCTGTTTTTCCCGTGGAGGTATCTCTCACAAATGGAGCCCCGCCCCAGCCGGGACAAGAACTAAGCTCCCGACTGGCCCCCTGACATGTGTGGTAGTATATTGCATGTAAGTAACGGGGAGGATAGAACAAAGAAGAGGAAGGAAAGGTCGCGCGCGGTCCATGACCCATTTGTTGAAGAACTGCATTTGCTGCAGAGAAAATCGCGTAAAACTACCGATCAGTGTAGCCAGCCGCTAGAATTTTCAAGATCGGCTCAATTCGATCTTGCTTTCTTGCTAATGTCGAAAATCCTGCCAACGTCGAGGCTCGAACCCTACGATATCCGGGTCAGAAGTCAGTGTCATCAATTAATAACCTAAGCCACCTCACCCAGTATGAGTTTGAAGTTTCGTGTACATACGTAAAGCGTAAAGCTGCGTGTTCTAACCCCGCATATGGCTTGCATGTTCCCCCCACATGGTCGAAACAAGTATCATTACTATTGACCCCTTATGGATAACTCGTCATCCATTACACGGTGAACAGCGTTGTCAAACCACTTCTGTAATCACCTGTCCTGGCAAGTGGAGAGTACAAAGAGGTAAGCCTCCATCTTCACATACGCACAGGGACTGAGTATTCACCTCGTGATCCTCAGATAGCAAAACTGTCCCACTGCGGCTGTCGGGCCTTTGACATATGACGAGAGCGCCAGAGCCACACCCGCCTGCTCACGCCCGCCTTCACTCGAGCCTATATTCACAACTATGGGATCTGCGTGCGACAGACCGGCGCCGCGCGGAAATCGATACATCTCTCGACCACGCGATAAAAGTCGTTCCACCTCCGAAGAGCACTTTCGAAACTTCAAAGGACGGGTATGAATCCGAAATTGCTCTCTTTTGATCTCCGCTGTAGATTCGTCGCTGGCGGTATGGCCGCGGCTCATTGGACAATGTCACGAATGTGACAGCGAAGTCTTTTGACACATTTTTCTGTGTCACGACCATTCCAAGGTGGCCCATTTTTTTTTCTTCTCTCGCAGGTTGGTCTATTCGGGCCGGGGGTGTTCGTTCGAGACTCGAAAGCCACTCGTATAACTCCTGGTTTCTGTCTGCGCAGTTGAACCCGTGTTGCGCCTCCAGCTGGGAGCGAACCTCAACCCTGACGACATCGAGGAGGGAGACGACGTCTACTTCGAGTGCAAAGTGCACGCCAACCCGTATGCTTACAAAGTCATCTGGAAGCATAACGTGAGTATTGATCTTGAGGCTTTTTGTGTTGTGTAACATACCATTTGCTTCTATCAGAAATATTGATGTTCGTCCAGTGATGTGTGAATCACGTGGGACAGAAACATAGAACTGTAAACCCTCATTAACGCACATTCCAAGGGTCCGAAATAATCGGAGTTCGTTTTATTATAATTTGTGTTATTCGATGATTATAAGTGAGCGTTTTACTGCAATCCCTTGCCGAGATCCAAGGTTTGTTCATGCTACAGCGAAATTCGTGTTACATCATTTCGTGCTAACGAGGGTGTACTGTAACAGCATTTGATAAAATGCTTGTAATAATAGTGGAAAATATCGCACGGATAACGTTATCACACCAGCGGTCATGATCCCAGCCGCCGACACCACCGCTCCTGACAGTGCAAAATCAAACCACTCTGCACTCACCTCCCACTCCCTCACCGTCATACCATCACAGTCACCATCGCCAGCCCCACCCCCATCACCGTCACCGGCGCTTCCGTTGTCTCTGCGCATCCACTCCCGTCTCGCGGCTCATGATCTCCGAATGGACGGCCGGATGTGCACTGGCTGCCTGCGAAGGACGGGCAGCAGCGGGCAGCACCTCTATGGGGGTGGGGTGGCACGGCGAGCACAAGTGACGAGTGGAGTGACGCGAGGGGAGCGGACGGTGTGGGGGTCAAAGACGGACCTGTGTGCTGAGAGGTGGAGTCTCATTTGAAGCCGCGAGTTGCGAAGAGGCACTGCAAGGGGTTGCCAACAACATACATCGGAGATTTTTTTAAACAGGGCAGTAAAATAATTTAATTGTACTTCAATTTTTACGATTCGATTGACGACAATGTAATGATTCGATTTATTCACGAATAAAACTAAATAAATCCAATTTTTTATCACTTAAATTATGGAATTATTATAATTTCTTTAAAAAATGTGTGTCACTGTTTTAAGAAAACTGATTGTCTTAAAATTGGATTTATCAATAATTATAAATTACTTCCTTGTACATAATATTTGGTAGGTAAGATAATATTTGGTTGGAGATTCAATTTAGATATTTTAATTTCATAAGTTATTTATTATATAGTTGGTCATGATGTATCTAGTACGCTCTTAGAGTAAAAAAATCGTGAGAACATATTGTTATCAGAAAGACGAAATGTTAATTATTTTGATTTTTTGTATAATTATTATTGTTACAAATTTAAAACAAAAAGTTATAAATTAAGAGATTTAGGCATGTTTAAGCACATATAAGACAATTGGGCTATTTGAAAGAAAAAAAGCCGATTTTAATGGAATCTTCACTACAGTCCTAAATCGGCGAACATTTCGATTTATCATACTTTAAAATAATAGTCTTAACAAATCTATTTTTTCTGATAATGCCAGTCCGCGAGAGGCTAAGAGTTGCTGGAAAAATACAGGCTGGGCCTAATATGATGTTGGAAGAAGAGGGAAGGGAGACACCAAAACGAAGAGGGGAGTGAGAAAATAGCCAGGGGGAGCGGGGCGGGATTGGATGGAATGAGGTGGAGTAGGCCCGGCGAGGCGATTGCGGAGCGCAAACTGGAAGTCGTGAGGACCCAGGAAAGGCGGGGAAGCGGCGGCAAGAAGGTCAAATAATGGCATGAGGAGCGAGGTGGGACAGGAGGGCGCGGAGGGGATACAGAAGCAGATGAGGTTGACGGTGGGGAAGGAGTGGGGAAAATTTCTTAGCGTGAGGAACCGGACGGGACAGGGCGGCGCGGAGGGGTGAAGTGGCAGATGAGGTTGAGATGAGGACACAAGCAAGGTGGGGAATGGGTGTCAAGGGGCAGGTCGGCGTGGAGGGGGCGCAGAGGCAGATGAGAGTGAAGAGCGGAGCTGGGTGTGGAGGGGGCGGGGGACGTCGTTCTGAGAAGCGGTTGGCACAACTAGAGAAGGACTGTCAAGGGGCCTTGCGATTTGCAGGCGGGTGAAAAGGGCGCAAAGAGGGTGAGAATATGACCTGGGATGGGCAGGAAGACGCTACGAAAGGACTTGGGGGATGCGTGGAACGATGATGATGAGTTGGTGGTGCGACCTGTGTGGTTGGCGCAATGAGTCAGATGAAGTGCAAGAGAGGACCTTAGAGGGTGGGGAAGATTTGAAAGAAGGGAAGTCGATATGGTGTCGTTGGCGGTGGGGGCGGTGCGGTAGTGGCGGTGAGGTTGTTGCGGGCCGGTAGTGGTGGGGCGGTAGGGGCGGTGAGGTAGGTGCGGTAGGGGTGGTGCGGTAGTGGCAGGGAGGTTGTGACGGTGCGGTAGGTGCGGCGTGGTAGGAGTGGTGCGGTAGGGGCGGCGGGGTAGGGGAGGTGCGGAGAGGCGGTGCCGTAGGGGAGGTGCGGTAGAGGCGGTGAGGTTGTGGCGGGGCGGTAGTGGTGGTGCGGTAGGGAGATATGCGGTAGGAGCGGTGCGGTAAGGGCGGCGCGGTATGGGAGGGGCGGGTCGGGGCGTCCGTCGTTCGGCTCGTTACACAGGGAGCGGCCGTGTCGCGGCGCAGTCGCCGCCCGCATCGTCCATCTTCCTCCACGTTCGTCCCTCTGCGAGGCTCCGCGGCCGCGGATTAATGTACAGACAAGGAGAGAAAGAGGGCGAGCGAGCGAGAGAGACAGAGAGTAGCGTGCCCTGGTTACAGAACGGCGAAGTCGCAGCTGGGTGGTATAATGAGAAACTAGTGTACAGAGGAGCACTGCGGCCCCACGGGAACTAAGGATAAATGTGAAATATGATCTCTGTTTTATTTTAAACATTACCGTCTTTTGTGTAAATGAGGTCTTTGCGGCATCTTGTTTTTCTGTATTATTAGGTTTTAGGAAATACGTAAGTCAGATTCGTGTAAGTCCACACTTGTGGTTCATGTGCTACATTCGTTCAGTGACAAGAAGCTTTCAAGAAATATATTGATTAGTTAAATAGTAGTTTAAGTAGTAGTTTAATAATGATATGTTTATTTCATGAATTTGTATATTATATGTTGTAATTCACTAGCTGTTTGTTCATGTAAAAACATAGTGTCTGATTCTTCAGTTTTTTCCTAATTTATCAAATACTATTGATATTTTAATGTCCGGATTATTCTTCAAATTAGAAAAATGTAAAGTGATATCCATAAGATAATTGCACAGTATCAAACATCATTCATCACCAATTTTACTTTTGTACCATGCATCACTCTCGTGAGTAAAATTCTGTAAATGTTTTAGTAAATATTAAATAGTATGGCAAAAATGTAATCGAATTCAATATATAGCACATTGTTCATTGTTTTTTTCATACATTTTTAATCAAAATGTCGGTGAATATTTTATCATATCCTGCTTCATCCCTAAGAATGGTACTAGATTTTCAATTTTTTGGATAAGAATATAGAGAACAAACGTCCGCAACGTAACAAGTGGTGCGTTACACATTGACCACCGTAACATCACATAAATTCACAAACAACTACTTAAAGAACTAAAAAAACGTTTTACAGGGTTGAGAATATTAAAGTAACATAAAAGAGAAATATTTAAATGCTTAAGGATTTATCAGCATTACTTTTGCATACTAAAATGATGAAAAAATCATCAACGATTGGCATTTGAATTTGCGAGTCATGAGTTTTATTCACAGAAATCGAGTACCAGCATTGTCCAAGTCTCTGTTACAAAGGGTCTGCGCGTGCGCTGTTGCAGGGTCGCATCGTGCAGCACAGCCCCAAGGCCGGGGTCCTCCTCATGGACCGGGACCTGGCGCTGCAGGGCGTGCGGCGCGAGCAGGCGGGCAACTACAGCTGCTTCGCCAGCAACGTGGAGGGCGACGGGGAGTCCAACGCCGTCCCGCTGCGCGTCATGTGTGAGTAGAGCCAGCGACTCTCGCCGGGGAGGACTCGAGTCCCATCAGTGGCTGATGAGCGGCACTAGCTACATAACTAGGTCGACTTCCGCTTCTGCCTGAAGGAGAATCCTGGCTGAATGCTGCTCTTATGGGTAGTTGGCGGTGGTAGGTAGCAGGCGGGCAACTGCAGCTGCTTCGCCAGCAACGTCAAGGGATACGTAGAGTCCAACACCGTCCCGCTGCTGTCATGTGTTAGTCACACATCCCTACCATTCAAAATGGATCTTTGGCCCTTGCTATTGTCCAAGATGTTGTTTTCCTTGCTTTCGAACGTAGTCAACCTGGATTTGGCATGGCAATGCCGTTTTTGGCATGGCAATGCCGTTTTCCAATGCTTGGAAACGGCATGGCAATGCCGTTTTTGTGACAGAGAGAAGGAATATGAGAAGAAAGAAATAGATAAATGCGATAGTGAGGAAAGTTTTAATGAAATAAGTTTTTTTATGTGAAGACATGAACGCGTCTGAAGAACTTTTTCGATATTTGAAAATTGATAACAGTTATAGTGAGACAGGTCAGCAGAATCACTTAAAATAATTTAGACGTGAACTTAAAATGACACGTGTTATTTACATAGTCGAACACAATTTTGCAAGATTTAACAAATTCAAAATTGCTGAACAAAGTGAATACCAGCGTTTACCTAGTGTTTGAAATAAAATTATAGATTTTTGTCGAAATAATCTTCCAGAAACATATATTGTAATATTTATTTTATTTTTGGTGCTTATTAACCTTCTTGTAAAATTCAATAAGTGACCAAGCCTCTCCCAAACGTGCTACGTCCATCGCGAATTGTCCAATGTCTATATGTCCGAGAATTATTATTGCATTAGTAATCGTTTGAGATTTCTCGTTGCATATGTTGAAAATCGTTTATTTTTACGCAATTTGATATTTCGTAATTTTTCAAGTTTCTTCTCTCTATATAAACGTTTTAAATTTCTTCTCGTTATATATGTAATTGTTTGAAACTTCTTTCTACAGCTGTCATTGCGTAAGAGTTATTGAGGTGCTGATTCACAGGGAGGGAAATGAGAGAAATTTTCCCCCCTAAATTTTTCTGTAAATTTTAATTCTAAGTTGTCTCGAAACTATCAAGCACAAATATTTTGAGATAATTATTAAAATCGTGTCGGAATATGAGCTGAGTGTTGCATATAACATTTTACACAATCTGTAATGACACATTGAACCAAAACATTTTGAATTTCCCCTCTCAAAATCCGTCTCTGGATCCGCCCCAGATTTATTATATTATTTCTGAATGTTTGAAGTACCTTGTTCTTGCCTAATGTGTATTTGCTGAAGTTTCTACGTAGAGATCAAGTGCTGTTACATTCTCAAGCCAGCACTTCTAATTGCTGGTGCTGATGCTGTCACGTGTGTTGCAGACGCCCCGGTGTGCCGCGCGGAGCAGCGGCGCGTGTACGCGGTGGCGCGGCTGGAGCGGGCGCACGTTAAGTGCGAGGTGGACGCGTACCCGCCGCCCGACTCCTTCCGCTGGAGCTTCAACCACTCGGGCGCCGGCGACGCGGCCGTGGAGCTGCCCGAGGCGCACTACAGCTCGGCGCCCGACCCCACCGGCGCCTCCACGCTCTCCTACGCGCCAGCCTCCGAGCTGGACTACGGCACGCTGCTGTGCGCGGCCGCCAACACCGCCGGCCAGCAGCGCGAGCCCTGCGTCTTCCACATCGTCGCGGCGGGTGAGTGCTCTACGCTCTGAGACCCTAGGGGCTTAAAGGAGACTACGTGTATACAAAACCTGACACTGACTTCCGAGGTCTTGGGGTACCCCAGGGTCCTTGATTATGGTCAACACCGTCGGCAAGCAGCGTTAGCCCTGCGTCTTCCACACCGTGCGGATGGTAAAAGCTCAGCACTGAGAGGCTCTGGATAAAAAAACGGGGCTCATGTTAATACAAAATCCTACTGCGTGCGCTCTAAGACCCCACGAGTACCCCAAGGTCCATGAATAGGTCCAGTAATTTTAAACACGAAAATGTTACGTTTTCGAACCTCTTATTGGCTGCTATAGCTAAGAGGAAAGACCATTTTTGTGAACAAGTGAATTGCCTTCCTATACTATAGTTTGATCTCTCTCGTCAAGAAAATGTATTATCTTTTTGGACCATTCTAATATATGACGTATGTTCGACATACGTTAGTTCGTATGCCTGTATGCTGAGCATACTCTACCTGCAGAATTCGTGGAAGTACTAAAGTGCACCGATTGACGATTGGTTGAAGGTACATTGGACCAGGTAGTGTAGGTCGTCATCGGATTGCAACTTCCAGCGGGAAAGAAACACTCCCATCACATGGGAATAACAGTTGCTGCACTTAGAGCACTAATAACCTCAGCACTTGACTCGTCCGGAATCAATACTAATCGAAGAACTACTGCTACGAACGCTAGAACGCTCTTCTGGGTATTGATAATCATTGCACGTACATTAATTTCAATTATTCGTCTTGACAGTTGATCGATGTAATTCTCACACTCAGAAGACGTTAAGGGCCGACAGGAGTAACATGGATTTCATATCTCTCATCGGCCGAGATGCGGGCAGGTTTGGGCAAGGCCAGAGTGTTGTCTCCACTTCCCAGTCCATCGTTTATACGGCCGATGAGATAGATCAGCAGGTGCCAACATTAGGCTTATTTAATAAAAATTAGTTTGCACGCTTAAAATCGTTTTATAAAATAACTGTGTCGAAATGTATATTCTAATCCATATTTCTTTTATCAAATTATTTAAGCTTAAATAAATTAAAATTAAATGAAGAGCGTATTAGGAAACAAAGATATATTTACGAAGAATGTTGGTGACAATATCAGTTTGTCAACCCACATCCTGAATTACTTATTTTTAACCGAAATTCAAATAAATGATCTGAACATAATCTGGGCAGAGTAGCGTTTCAATTACTACATATAAACATGTCTGAAATTCGATACTACTCACGCATGGAAATTGAATTGATATAAATGAATTTAAATCTTTGTTAGAAAACGAATTCTATTGTATTCGTTTGTTTTGAACAGGGCACCCGGAGCCGCCGCTCAACTGTTCTTTGGCCAACCAGACGACGGGCTCGCTGGAGGTGGAGTGCGAGGAGGGCTTCGACGGGGGGCTGCCGCAGACCTTCCAGCTGGAGGTGTTCGACCTGGAGAGCGGGCTACTGGCCGCCAACGTCTCCTCGCGCTGGCCGCGCTTCCTCGTGGAGGGGCTGCGCGCGGGCCGCGTGCTGCGGGTGCACGCCTACGCGCTCAACGCCAAAGGGCGCAGCGAGCCCTTCGCCCTGGAGGGCTTCACGCTCAAGCAGGCCGAGAAGCGCACCGGTGAGTCCCTCTCCCACTTGGCCCCTCACCCTGGAGGGCGTCACGCTCAAGCAGGCTGAGAAGCGCACCGGTGAGTCTCTCTCACTTGGTCTCTCACGGTGCTGCTGGAGCAGACGCCGCAGTTGGTCACGCTGCTCGGAAGGCTGGCTGCGCTTCTGCTAGTGGGGCGGTGGCGCTGCGGGTGGGAAGGGTTTAATGGAGATGTGAGCCGTGGATCAATGAGTCTGAGTCCCTGTGTGCGTTGGTGCGTAGGGTCCCCGGTGGCGCTGGAGCTGACCCCTCTGCTGGCCACGCTGCTGGGGGCGCTGGCGGCGCTGCTGCTGGTGGGGGCGGCGGTGGTGGCG